AAATTTTACCCACTGCCGCCTCAAATTAGCGTCTTTTGGAAACTTATGCATAGTATGGCCTGTTTTGTTCGAATTACTGCAAAACTAAACAAACATGTGCTTATTTCACAACGTGTTCAAGAAAGACCTTTGACTTCCCGTAACTTAAGGTCCACCCGTGACGTCATTTGCTAGATTGCGCAATTCAAGATGGCGGATGTTTAGAGCTTTGAAGCGATTTTTCAACGTAAAAACGGGCTAAAGTGAACAAAAGATCTACAGATTTGGCAGATGTCATGTATGTAGTAAACGACTATGTGGTCCCCAAAATAGCATTTTTGGGGTTTACATGCCCTTTAAGTTGAATAAGTTATGTAATCCTTGTAGTGTTGTGCAGTGTAGTTTTTTTTTCTTTGTAGTTTGTAATTAAGGTAATTATTGTAAATTTTGTAATGTTTATAAGTATCGATTTATGTGTTCTTGTACTAAACCTGTAAAAGAAAATAAATAAATAAAATACACACAAGAAAAGGTCTTCACCTAACCAACTTCAGCCTTAACAGATCAGTGGGTTATAGTTATTGCAGCAGGATATCAGGACAGTAGACAAGGCCTCTGACTGGCTAATTGCAAATATCTTCTCTCATGTACTTGGTCAGTATCATTGGTCTCCCAATCTTTAATTCTTGGTGCAGATTCTATGTGGGAGGGGAGGGGGGAAGAGGTGGGGAGAGGAGTGGTGGCCTCATGGTTAGAGCACTCGACTCCGGATAGAGCAGTCTGTGTTCTAGCCCTGGCTGGGAACATTGTGTTGTGTTCTTGGGCAGGACACTTTACACTCACAGTGCCTCCTTCCCAGGTGTACAGATCGGTACCGGATAATTAATGCTGGGGATAACCCTGCGATGGACTAGCATCCCATCAAGGGGGGAGTAGAAATACTCCTAGTCGCTTCATGCTACAGAGACTGGGATAAACTCTGGCCTGATGGGCCACTCGGCTCATAAGCAGACTTAACCATATATGCTAAAATTATTCTTAGGTAACAATTTCTGAAACTCTTATTTCACCGAAAACTCCTGACACACCAGGACACTGGATTAGTTGCAGTTCTGAAGATACTTCATGTGTAGTCATTATTTTTCAATCCCATTCTTTCAAATTTAACCTGGTTGCATTTGAAAGGAACTGTCTGTAAAGTTCATGGACTAACCACCACAGTCTTGTTTAAATAAGCATTACTTTTTTATTAAGGGTCACATGACATAGTCTAACCAGTCAGAGCATTGTAAGTTCATTTTTCTTTTATATCCTAACATCATAAATCTTAAGATTTTCGGTTCCAATACTGATCTAAAATTGCATTGTTCACACTTATTGTTTGATTTACTGCATGATACTACAAATAAATGACTTCATAAATATATTATATTTTAATAAATACTTTTAAAAAATGTTTTTGAAATATAATTGCTTGTCACCAGGCACCCATATATCTTCATTTGTTCTCCACGCATGCCTGCCTGTTTTGTCCTCAGATGCGACAACAGTAACTTGATCTCATCAGTGACTGTTCCAGTTCCAGAAATGAATCAGTTTAGACGGCAAAATGCTTTTTTTTGTGTTGACTCTGAATTACTTTGCAACTTTGAATTGTTGTCTTCAGATAGCTCTGAAATGGAAAATGCAATCCAGTTACAAGGTGTTCTAGACCTTTTGAAGAGGGAGGCTTAATACAGAAGCAGGAACTTATTTCAAAAAATCACAAATAATTTGTCTCTTTAAGTAAGGTGGATCAAGGAGTTAAATTTCTGCCAAGAGCTTATCACAAAAGCAGGTTTATGGAGCTTTACAAAACTTTTACTGCATAAAAATGAGAAAATGAAATCAAAAATGAAATTTTCACAGTTTACTGCAGAGAGTAACATAATTTTTCTGATTTTACTCAGACTATAGCATAAATTCCGGCCCTATCCCCCACTCGGGGGCAATGAACTAAGCATAGCATAAATAAAAAATGAATTGGGAAGCTGAGTAAGAGTATCATTTATGAAAACTGTCCAGTCACTCCTGTATCCATTATACCCTGAGACTTTTCACAGTTATTTGTTCAGAGTAATGGTTGATATTGTTAAATCAGTTTTCCATTACCTTGGTGATTTGCCTTTTTGGTACTTGTTTGAGGTTTATGATGCAAATGTTCACATGAACTGCTATAGTGATTGTTTGAACATGACTTTGCTGGTGCTGATGAGCAGTCCGAGCTACTATGAAAATTCATGCGACGTCGTGGTGCTTTATTAGTCACTCCATCATCAGTGTCATGGTTGCCACCAGATTCATCATTAACTTCAAAGTTTTTAATATCCTTATCTGTGTAGTCCGAGCCATTACTGTCTTTTGATGGTGCTTGATATGTAGGCCATGACGGTGTTTTCACAATGATCTCATCATCTGAATCGTCAGATTCTGAAGGGGAGAAAAAAAAATGAATTAGGCACTGTTGCAGTAAATCTGCACATTTTCACTTTGTTTGGGCAACCTGTGAAAGCAGATAATAGATTTTATCTGTAAAATGATGCTTAGTGGAGTGGAACAGTGGGTAAAAATTGAAAATTATTTGCATTTGATTTAAAAAGTCTCCTTGTGTATGAGAAGATGGACTGATAATTTTTGTTGGTCTTTTGTTTTATGTTTATATAGCCACGTGTTACCCCGGGGGAGGTACTTTGGGAATTTCTGGGTGGGCATATGCCGCTGGGACCCTGGAACCCTTAGCCTATACCAGAGCTAGTTCAGCCGAATTTTGCTACCCTATACTAGAGTAAACTCCCCAAATCCCCCATC